TCAGCAACACCTGAAAGGTTTTCCTCAAGTCAATTTGTCTAAATATCTGAGGTTAATGAGACTCTGGATCTCTACAGCACCCTGGAGCTGTGAGTTCCACAGATTCCTCGTGCACCATAAAAAAGCCCAAACAACCCTTTAAACTTGTTGCTAATGAAATGACAATTTTACTATTACACTGAAACTATTATTTTACTATTATTATACTGGTCTCCAAGAAGGAGCAAGGGCTGCCTGAGCCCCAGGACAGGCCCCCAGCTCTCAGAGTACTGGGCAGGTCAAGGGCACTGTCTGGACTTCCCCTCAACAAATCCTGGTCCAGCACCCCCAAGAGGGATAGAACATTGCCATTGTTTTATTTCAGCCTCTCCATGACCAAACCTTCCCCAGTTTCTCTTTGCTGAGTTCAGGTGCTGACAGAAGGGCTGAAGTGTTCCAGCTGCACAAGGAAGTGCTGGGATAGGCAGAGCAGGGATGAGCTGTGGGCAGAAGGGCTGTGCAGAGGTGTGAGGGGCTGAGGGGTGATGGCAGTGCTCTGCAGGGCTTCTGAAGTGATTCTCTCTTCAGCGTCCCCCTGCAATCCTGCTGCAGCACGTGCTGCTTCAGGATAATGGCAAGGGAAAGCGCAAGTCCCTACCCAGAGTCAAGAGGTATTTTAAGAACAAGAGGCACTGCATGGACTGCTCAGGGAGGAGGAGGAGTGAGGAAGGACTGAGGAGAGCAGATCCTGAGGGGACATGAGGCTCTGGAAGGAGAGATTAGGGCTTTACTGGGCTCTGCTGTGCTGACAGCAGCAAGCCCTGCCTCTCAAAAGCTTTAGCTTTTGTATTCTCACATTCTGTGCTGCTTTAGTGTGTGGGTCTGGGATTCATGTTAGAGGATGGTGAGCTCTGTTCACGGAGCAGGGAGACAAAACAATTCCTGTTCTAGCTGAGGACCAAGGACAAATGATCCAGATCTCAGGACAAAGGACCAAAGAGAGAAAACAAGCAGGATGGGACTGCATGGGCTGGAGCTGGAATTGGATAATTAACTCCAATATACAAATGGGCCAAAACTTATAAAAGTGTGAGACCCCGTGACTGGTTGTTCATTTTGTGACCATTTTGGGTTGTGCTGCCCAAGGTGGATCCATTGAGGCTTCTCAATAAATCCCTACTTTATTCTTTAGCTCAGTCTAGGTCTGTTCTAGGTCAGCCTTTCCAAGGCATCACTGCAGGGCCTGCTCTGGGTGTACGTGGGGAGCTGAGCCTCCCTGCACGTGCTGGGATGGGACAGTGACCCTGACTGGGATAGATGGGTGATGTGATGGTGGACTCTCACAATTAAAAGGCAAAATTCATGTATATGTTAAGAGAAGGTTTATACATTAATAGTTGAGTTTCACCCCCCATTGTGTTGTTATCGGGGGTGGCCTGGGTTTGGGACATTTGGGAGGGTCACTCGTTGCTGTGGCAGCAGCTGACCTCCAGTCAAGGTGTCAGAGGTGATCTCCACCACTGGGCAGCAAAGAAGGAGTCAATGGACAGAACTTTGGGAGGGCTAAAGGGTTAAAAGGCAAAACCTCCATTGTGTGGATGAGCACATCCTCTGCTCCCGGTGCTGTAATATTTTCTCTATTCAGTCTTCTGTAGTATTTTTGGTAAGGTTTTAATAAACCTTTTAAATTTTTGGAAGTGAGGATCATTTCTCACAATGGGGGCTGAATGTCCCTGCCCTGCTCCCAGGAGCTGCAGAGAGCAGCACCATCACCCTCCCCAGCCTCAAGGTTACAGAGCACTGGGGAAGAGGAGAGGGTGTGCGTGGTGACTTGACAGAAATACTAATCCAGCTGAGCTGCAGGATTAGGGAAAGAAATTAATAGGAGAACCTGCAAAAAGCATGAAAATAACAGGCATATCTGGCTAGTTTCTTCCTCTCCTGGGCAGGGAACAGTTTTCCTCTGATGTGAGCCAGTTACACAGCCTGGGGGGGCTTCTGCAGCCAGTGATGAAGGAAAGGCTGGAACTGATCCACAAACAGCTGCAGAGGGTCTTGTACCCCTGCTCCTGTCCTTGACCCCCTCCACCAGCACCTGCACCAGCTCTGGCACTCACTGGGCTCAAAAATAAGCTCTTTCAACCTACTGATGTGACAGAAAACTAATGTGGGAGAAGAAATGAGCTCAGTGAGGGTGTGGGAAGCCAGGAAGGCTCCCTGGGCCCATCTGAGCACAGTGGCAGGGAGTTCCGGGTGAGAACGGGCTCAGTTCTCGGTCAGAGCTGTCACATCCATTCAGGTACAACACCACACTGCACAACAGCACTTGGGGACATTTTCTGTCAGAATCCCTCAGGAAGGACCCGTGGTGGTGGTGTCTCACGTGCAGGAAACAGATGCCAGGATACAGTGATGTTAAAATCCAGGCTGAGGTTAAGAGGGAAGAGCAGCTCCTGATCCTGCTGCTGACTCTGTGACCAGGGGAAACTCTGCTGGGACAGGTCCCTCCTCACTTTGCCTCTGGGGCTGGAGGTCAAACAGTCCCTTCAGAGAGCCCCGTTTAGAGGGAGGGCAGGCCTGGCCCTGCCCCATGGCTGTGGCCCCTCCCTGTGCTGGGAGGGCTCTGAGCCACAGGGACTGTGCCCTGGTACCCAGGAACCTCAGCACCTCCCTGGCCTGGAGGGGGCATTCCCTCTGAATTCCATGGCTCCTGCCACCCCATGGAGCCACCCGGCTTCCCCTCCTTGCACAACCAGCACAGCATGAAGCGAGAGGCTCCAGGAGGAGATTCTGCCAGGACAGGGATTGAATGTCCCAGTGTTCAGAGAATCCAAGGCAGAGTGAGACAAGCCTGCTCCTGAAGCCAACAGACAGCACAGCTTGGCTTTTATTCCTCTGTTCCAAAGCCCTGCTTGTCCAAGGGAAGAACCAGTGGGTTGGCAGAGGTCCGGACAGTCTAAAACCTCCCCAAAAACCTGCTCCTGAACCTTGTCCTGAGGGTCCCACACAGAAGAGCCCCGAGGGCAGTTCCAGCTGTAACCTCCTCTCCAGTTTGTGTTTGTGCTGTTCCTCTCCCTCTCCAGGGTGTTCCTTTCCTTGGCCACTCCCAGCACAGCTCCAGAGGCCCCTCAGGCTGAGCTGTGCTGAGGGACAGGCAGAGCCCACAGGGTGCTCAGCAGAGGTCTCTCAATTGCTGCTGCCTCCTACCAATCAACCTCCAAACTTGTTGAGATTCTCTCTCTAATCTGCTTCAGCAGACACTTTGTCCCAGGAGGACTGAACTAAATTGAGTTGCAGGGCCGCAAATCACGCAGCAGCCTCATTTTAATCATGGCTATTCAAGTGCTAAGGAATGCAGAAAGTAAATACATATTTGTTTTTAGGCCATCACTTGTCCCATTTGCAAGAGGAAAACGAACGTATTCAATCCCTGAGGCTTTGATCCTCGGAGGATAACTTGGGAAAGGAGCCTGCCATAGGAAATACAGCCTTGGTTCAATCTTCTCCCTGCTGCCTTTGTCAGAGCTCTTCTCCTGGGTCTGTTAACCCTCTCAGTCACATCCTCGTGTTCTAACGAGGCTTTCACACTTCCCACTGTCCCTGCCACCCCCTCCGCAGTCCCTGCTGCCCTCCTGGGCACTGATTTCCTGGGCACTGCCTGGGCAGTGCAGGGTGAAGCTGTGCCCTTGTCTGAGCGCAGGCTGGAGCCAGAGCCCGGAGTGCCCAGTGCTGCAGGTGCAGCCCTGGCTGTGCCAGGCTGGCCAGGTGGTTGGCTTTGCAGATCAGTCCTTGACTTCTGTGCTACTTCAAACACATTTGAATAAATACTCTGCATCCTGAGATCTGATCAGCCTGCATTCCCAGTGCTGCAGTGTCCTTCTCTTTGGCGTGCCCTGCTCTCAGTGGGGATCAGCCTGGCTCAGCTGTGACACAGAGCTAAAACTCTGGATGCTCTGGATGCATGCCAGGCCTCCACGCTCTTCTCCTGGGCATTCCCCCTCCTTTAGCTCTAGCTGTGGTTTGGGATCTTCCCTATGCTCCAAGCATGAGTCAAACCTCTGCTCTTCTTTGCTCTCCCTCTCTGCCCTGCTCTCCTCCCACTAGAATTTCTGTGTCTCAAACCTGTTTCAAGGTCATCCCACCCCCTCCCTGAACTTAAAATTCAGTGCCTGCTGGTCACAGTTTCTCCACTTGAATCACAGCTCCCCTCTCACCTAAACTGCACCTGGCGGGGTCAGAATAGAACAATTCCTCTTAGTCTCCAGAGCAAATGTACCCACAAGACCCTGGCCATAAAACCTCCCCAGCCCCACTGAGGGCAGCTGCATTTTTTGGATGCCCTGCCCAGCTCACAGATTCAGTGACTGTGGCAGTGGCAACCCAATCAGATGTGACATTTATGGCTGTGCCCTCCATTCTGCAATCCCACAACGGTGCCATTAATTCCACAGCTACCTGGGGAACCTGCTCCGAGCTCCTGAGCCCTGATCTGGGCTTTGGGGCTTGTTCTGCAGCTCCACTCAGGAGCACTGGAGTGAATAATCTGGATACTTTTACAGAGAGCACTTGCTAAACAAAAGCTGCACATTCTGGAACATTCACTTGGGGTTTGAAACAAGATGTGGGAAAGGAAGAAGTGACTTAAAATTTTAGGTACCGGTGACATTGGTAACATTGGTGTACGCAGACAGGCAGAGACAACAACAATCATCTCCTTGCCCTGCTGTTAACTGATGCTGCTGCTGTTTCTTCCTGAGGGTGCTGGAGTGCATGGATGGGGATGAGTGGCCAAGGAGTAGCGCCCTGGCCTCTCACACTGACAGTCCTGGCTTGCTCCACAGCAAGGCAACCACCCCTGGCTCGCTCTGGACGGCACAGAGACAACCCCGGCCTCCCTCTGGATATCACAGAGACCACCCCGGGCTCACTCTGGATATCACAGAGACCATCCCATCCTCCCTCCACACAGCACAGAGACCACCCTGGCCTCCCTCTGGATATCCCAGCAGGGCTGTCCTTACCTTCTCCTGGTACTGGCGGCGCGAGGAGTCCAGGGACTGGATGAGGGCGGTGGCGTGGCCGATGAACATGGCGTAGCAGGTGGCCCCCACGATCATGCTGAGCATGGTGAGCCACACGTCCGACATCCCCACCGGCGCCTGCTGCCCGTAGCCGATGCACAGCATGTGGCTCATGGCCTTGAACAGGGCGTACGAGTACTGCTTGCCCCAGGAGTCGTTCTGCAGGGACAGGGGCACAGCTTCAGCACGGGGACATGGCATCTGGACAGGGGTATGGGCAGGAAAGCACCCCTGGCATTGCACCCAAAAACCCCTGTTGGAAGCACCTCAACGTGTTACACAAGAAATTTAATTTTGGTGGTTGAGAGGTCTTTGAAAGCTAGGAGGGCTATGGAGTCTCAACCCCCAAACCCCTCAGAGCCCCCATAACTCCTGTATCACTCACAGAGCCCCTGCACCTCAGTGCCCCATAATTCCCATATCCCTCACAGAGCCCCTGCACCTCAGTGTCCCCATAACTCCTGTATCCCTCACAGAGCCCCTGCACCTCAATGCCCCATAATTCCCATATCCCTCACAGAGCCCCTGCACCTCAGTGCCCCCATAGCTCCTGTATCCCTCACAGAGCTCCTTCACCTCAATACCCCCATAATTCTATATCTCTCACAGAGCTCCCTACACCTCAATGCCCCCAGCAGCCCCATAAGTCCCATATCTCTCACTGAGACCCTACACCTCAATGCCCTCAATTGCACCCAAAAATCCCTATTGGAGGCACCTCAACACAATAAATTTACTCTTTGTTACACAAGAAATTTAATTTCAGAGCCCTCACTGCCCCACAAGCCCAGCTCAGTCCATTTGGAAAAATTAGCCCAGATCCCAGATCTGAGATCACCACTTTGGCCCTGGTTTTAGAGACTCCATGTGCTTTTTCCAGCAGGA